GACTAGATGGAAACTGGTTTCTTTTTGCTTGAGAAAAACTGATGATAGCAGAGATATTGTGTGGTCTAAAGGAATGACTCCACCCAAATAATGCCCATCCTGGAAATATACAACCAAACCCAGTGACTCACACACAGAATGAAAATGGAGGTATTTTGTCAGAATTCCAGGGCCACCTCTGTACCTATCAAGTTTGAGGTACCTGTGGAAATCTTCTCCCTTTAAAATTCCATCTGCTAGATCATAGTAGCAAAGAGTCTGATGCTTACTTCAACATTACAAGGAACAGGCTGGTCCCAGAAGATGGACATTTTTTACTGCTTGGTTACTCTGGGATCCAACTACCACTTCACCAGCTTTTCTAAGCAGGAAAAAGTACAGCCCCCTCACATGCCCCTCTCCCACTATGGAAGCTTACTTCAGTGGCCCAAATTCTTCACCCTTCTCAGAAACATGACCTTGCAGTTTCTCCCTGCAAACATTAATCTCCCTTCCCTTTGACAATGGACTTGGCCATTGACTTCCTTTGGCCAACAGGATGTTAACAGATTAATGACATAATCAGAAGCTTGAAATGAGCTTGCTCATCGAGGCTTGTGTTCGTATCTCTGCCATCATCATGAGAAGAACATGCCCAAGCTAAAAGCTGGCCCCAGGGGGATGAGGGACATGTGGAGTAAAGTCACCCCCAAGTGAGCAGAGCCAAGATCAGCTGATTCTCCCCACCTCAACCTGCAGGCATGAGGTTAATAAAAGCACAGTTATATGCCACTGAGATTTTGTGGTTGCTTGTAATGCAGCATTACTGTAGCAAAAACTAACTGATGTATCCACCATAGTAAAAATTCACCTATAGTTTATAAGTTAAAACACTGTTTTGCTTTGTTTTTTTAATGCATAAGAAGCAGTGGATCTCTGATTCCCCCTACCCCCAGTTAGACCATCAGGTCTTCAAAGCAGCATCCTATTACATCCCTAATGCCCAAGATTTATTCATGAAATCCATTCCATGTCCTGAATCCCAAGGGATACAATGGTAAACAATACACAACTGCAGCCATCAGTCTGCACCTGTGAATGTTTTCCCATCTAGGATCAAGGCAATGTGCTTTTGTCCAAAGACGATTATGAAGTTTACTTACACACCTGGAAGTATACCAAGTCAGTAATGGACTCTGAACCACCTGAGTGTTCTTTGCCTAAGTACAGATGAACTGGAATCATCGTATCTTTCGTTAATGAATGGGACTGACAAAAACCATTGGACTACTGGTTTTTAATCTTAGCCAACCACCAGAGCTTTGTAAATTACAGATTCCTAGTTCCCATCTATAGATATTTAGTTGAATACTCTGGCACAAGGCCCAGGTGTCTATGTTGTTTAAAGTGTCTCAAAGTAATGCTGAGAATTATAAGAATTGAGCACCGCTCCCCATATCAAATAGAACTTCTCTATCCAATTATTGAATCTCCTGTGCTGAGTTGCACTAAGTACTTGTGATGACATTAGCAGAGCCAAAAGTGAACACAGAGGGACTGTTTCCAGATGCCCACATGTATCCATTAGTTACTATTAGCATAATAAAAGATTCCAGAACTCAGTAGCTTAAAACAGTAAGCACTAATCATTGCTTATGAGTCTATGGATCTGGATCAGTTTGTCTGATCTCTGCTGGACCCACTCATGTGTCTAAGGTCAGCTGGCTGGTCTAGGGTTGCTTCCCTCACGTGTCTGGTATGAGATCACTATCAGCGGGGGTGACAAGCATCTCTGGGCCACAGCAAATGGGTCCAGGTGTGTACTTACAGATTCTAAGGGAGCAAGCAGAAGTGGGCAAGGCTTCCTAAGACCTGCGCTGGGGACCAGTACACGAGCACTCCTTTACTTCTGCACATCCTATTGGCCAGAGTCAGTTATGAGGCCAAGCACAGATTTTAGGGCTGGGGAAACAGACTCCGCTTGATAAGAGAAGCTACAAAAATCATATCACAAGGGACTAGATTCATAGAGGGAAATAACTGGGGCCGTTTTTGCAATCAATTTATTACACAGCTTAATGGGAAAAAATATATACATCAGCTCCAGCCAAATGTGATTTCTAAGTGTGAGCCAAAGTTTTCACCCGAAACTCACAAAGTTACCAAATCCTCAGGCTGATGTTTCATCGGCTAGTCCTCATTTCTCCTCCTGCCTGCACACATACACACACGTCTTAATCCTCAAGATCTTGGTCTCAAACCAAAGCAAGAGAAATCTATTTACTCTCAGCACATTTTATTTTATTCTCTGAGGTTTTTAAAGATGATAAGGATGACATGCCACCCCTTATGAGCATCTGTTCAGGGCAAATCTCTCTGTGATGTCTTTTCCTGGCTTAGGATGTGCCTACAGATGCAATGTGACTGCATGATCACCAGGGCTACATCCTCCAAAGGACACCACAGCATTAACACGAAGAGCAGCAACACATAAGAAATAGTACAGAAAAAAGACAGCACACAAGAGCAGCAAATAACCTTGAGGAGCAGGAAAGTGGCGCTCACTGAAGATTACAGACTGAGGCTAATTATATTTTAGCCACCAGCTGCTGGCTAAGCCCTCTTCATTTCGCTTCCCTCCTTCCCTCTCTCACCCTTGCCCTGACTGTGACCATTCAGGAAATACACTAAACTATGGTGGCTGAATCCACAACTATTTTCCCTGACTCAGGCCCTAAGATGTGTGCAGCCCGGCTGGGACATAGCAGCAGGTATCAGAGCATGCCACTACGGTGCTGCTTTCTGTGTTTAGAAAAATGACCATGACCTTTTGGTTAACTCCACTCCAAGTCTCTAAACACCTGCTTGTGAGACATGGGACAGGAGGAGGTGGTAGAGAAACAAACTGCAGAAACCAGAAAATACAGGATGGCAGAGAAGTGGCCAGGGCTGGGTTGTGCCTGAAGGCTCTTCGGACAGTGTAAGAGAAAGCAGAAACTGCTCAAATGCAAGGCTGTCTTAAGGGCATGGTTTGGTTCCTTCTTAATACAGCGAGCTTTCATTCTGCTCGGTAGGGTCACTGCTTCAAAGACTAAGAAACAGGGGGAGAAGAAAACCACAATGAAAATTTTTTTAAATGATAAATTCACCATAAAGAAGCCTCCAAAAAGCCATATTCAAGAAGATATTGCACTCAGTTTATGAAGAAATTCTAGGGAGTTCTGAAAACGTGTAGAATAGGACCCTATAGGAGGAAACACTGCCCACATGCTTCAGAACCGTATCCCAACCCTGGGCACTGGATCTGGGGTGGGGGAAGGAGGCTTGGTAGGAATGGTGATGTTTTTATACCATAACCCTTAATATCCAAAGTGCAAATGCCTACGAGGGCCAGAAACGCTCTCAATGCTGTTAACTCCATGGATGGCTTGGAGGCGCATCTGTTTTTCAATCAGAACGGAAAAAAAGTCACAAAAATGTAAACCTCGCATCTCCAGGTAGGATCATCATCATAATGGTTCCCACCCCCATCTCTTGCTCACTTGGCAACAAAATAAGTGGCATTCATGGATCGTCTTCTCATGAGCCGGCTGATTGAGCTGCAGTCAGTCCACGCTTTTGATTAATTAGCCAAGGGGAAACCTGGGCTGAAAGCAAACTACTGGCATTATCACCACAGGAATGTTGATCATGAGAGTGATGAGGAATTGCTGATTCTGTTCAGCAAAAGCTATCCTGTACTTTTCTGAAACTTAGAAGAGGAGCATGTGAAGTACAGGTTGCTCCTGACAAGAGAATCCTTCCGCTGCCCCTCACGGCAGGAACATGGGCTACGTTCGCAGACACCTGGGCACCAGCCAAACCGTCACCTGTGTCTTGAAAGTGCCTCTGGTTTGGGCAACTTCTTGGAAGTGCTTTCTGGTTTGTTGTTCTCCTACAAAACCGCTCAGCTCATCACCTTCATGCGCTCAGGTAGTCAGGACAGAATTCCCCATGGCTGTTAAAAGAATAGGGCCGTCTCAAATCCACTACACTAGTATCCAATCCATGTGGCACATCCACAAATAGTCTCTTTCCTACCACATTTTTTCTTGAACTCTCCCTAGGGATTAATGTCTGGGGGAGGCCAGGACCCAGAGGGAGCAGTTTTACTCCTTTGCAGGCCAGTGCAATCAACGGCTTGTGTTTAGAACAAATATTTGAAACGCAGAAGCCTGTTAACAATGCAGCATTTGATGCCTCTGAATTACTCTCTCACCCACAGCAATTGAGGGAGAAGCCCTTGGCACCAGCTCCACGCAAAAAACCTGCTTCCCAGCCTCCTCCATTTGCCTTCCGACCCTCCCCTCAAAGAATTCTCCACACACCATACAAAGGTCTTAGTTTTCTCCCTTAAATACCACATGAATCCCACATAGAACATCTGACTTCTTTCTTCCCAGAGCAGCAAAGATTTAATTCAATACTTCCACGTAATATTAACATTAATATAGTTAATGAGACCAATCTATCTTTTAACTCTTTTACTCAAACCCTTCCGTTGGTATTTTTCATTTTTAAATAGGGTTTTCTGTTTGCTAGTTCTGTTTTGCTGGGGGACAAAATGTCATCTTGGTTTATTTTAAAGCAATGGTAACAATTAAACTACTTTTCAATTAGTCAGAGGTGGGCAGGTATTAAAATGCCCACAGTCCTCAGCACTTTTCCTTCTCCAAAACCTTGGTAAGCAATGTAGGGGTTTTCTTTCCCCCTCTACAGGGCCAAAGGGTACACTGTGCTACCCAGAGGTAATTAGAATGTTAAATTTTGCTCAAGGCCAGGCTATCAGGTTACACGTTCTAACAAACCCTGCTGGGAGAAGACTTTGTCTTTGTCTTGGGACCACTAAGAACTAGTCAATCAACCAAACAGAACACCTTCAATTCTATCAGAAAACCTCCCATCTGAGCACAATGGACAAGAAAAGCCAACACCAAAGCAAATAAAATGAATGAAGTGGTCCTGCTGCAGGCCGTCCTTACCACTGGGGGTGAAGGCCCCCTCTGGACCCTTGCCGGGGCTCTGGCTCCTCCAGGGGTGGGTTGGGGGTGGCGAGGGGTCCCGGACGTGGGTGCGGGTAGAGATATGCTCCGTGCATGCTTGAACAGGACTCACCGCCGTCTGCCTGCCTGTCTGCCACTCCGTCCTCTCGTCTGGGTGGGAAGGGCCAAGTTGAAAAAAATGTGCAGGTTACTCACTGGCCTTCCCAGGCGGGGCGGGCACACCCAGGAGGAGGGAGAGGCAAAGCGCAGACAGGGAGATTCTTCAGAGGCTGGGCGTGAGATCTTGCTTCTCATTCCGTTTGTTAATGCTTCCTGAACTTGAAACTCAATCCGCACAAGCATGGGTACTTTGGGGAGGCAAATAACACTTGCGGAATTAGATTCCAAGGGCTT